ATCTCTTTCAATTTATCTATATCTTAATTATTTCTACATATTTTCATTAAAATTGATATAAGAATTACACTAAATATACTTTAATTTATATTTCTTTATCATGTGCTTTGATTCTACGGTAGTGCTTGTCAGATAAAAATTTGATGAGACAGTGATACAATAATAAAAATTAACGGGGCTCATACGTGGCTGCTTCTCGCTTCTTCTTGGTCATTCTTTGCTGGTCGGCTGACCAATCGCTCGCTCTGCGCGCAATTCTTGTCGGCGCGTCTGTGAAAACGCACGATAAATATGTTAATTGAATAGTGCGAACCGTTACGTACTCAACCCACGAGGCGTCGATTGTACGTTGTTGGCTATAGCACCGTTTGGTTGCTCGTTTCGAATGCTATCCCTAAATCGCTGAGGACACATTCGAAGCTTTAAAATGCCAGTGATTCATTCTATTGTGAGTGACGAGCGCTCCTTCTTTCTTACCTTGAGCGCTACGTAGGTCTTCGTCTTCTTCAGTACGCCACATCAAGTTTTCTTGAGATCACTTTAGAGTTGGCGACTTTTCCAAAGGACTGCTCTGGGACTAGGCAACTTTTTTTTTCGTTTCTCTGTGGCAACATTCTGGAATGCAGTAACCAGTAGATCTATCTTATAACTCTTATCGTTATCGTTATATTATTGTTACGTGGATATACAACGTGGATACATGGTAGAAAGCTGCACACAATTTAACGATAATATACATTCTTGTTAAAAGTTTTAAAATAGGCCACTGAGTGGTTTTCCGTTGCCTTTTTGTGATAAACTTTCGATAAAATCGAGATACATGTAAAAGGATCGGGATCAAACCTAAACTTACCGATTATGAGTCGACTGCTCTCACACAAAGTCACTCTGCGAATAGAATGCCATCCCTAAATCGCCGAGAACACGTCCAAACCATTAACTCCCCCAAAGATGTATTCTATAGTGCATTAGGAGGGTATAAGCCACCATTTTTTATTTTTAAAGCTACAAAGATATCTTTGAACGGAAACCATTATGTTAGATACGCCTCAATTCTGGAACGTGATGTTAAATTCATATTATCATCCCTATTCTTCGCATAGAGATAATAATTTTTACGAATATTTTCGTGATCTTGAAAACACAATTTTATTATATTATATTAATATGGAATTACATCTATAATATAATAGGGAGATCTTAAATTTACAATAAAAATTGTTATAATTTTGGATTCTAATGCGATAGACACACTAGAATGATTTATATATTTACTTGCGATAATTGTCGCGTTATTTTATATATTTTTTTTAATCATTTATATAATGAATCTTGCGAGTCGAAATTATTTAAAATTATAAAGCTTTCAATTTCTAAAATATGATATCTGTAAATCAAATGGCTGTAAATCAAGCAATCGTCAAAATTTTGGCTATCCCACGAATAATCCACATATCGTCACGTTCGACAAAAACACGTGTGAATCATATATGAAGCATATATATTTTTTTTATTTACACAGTTAACGATCCTCGCTCTCACGTCCGCTTTTGCCAAGCGCGTGTGTTGCACCGCGGTTTCTACAATTTCACTACATTCGATGCATCCATCTTACGCTACCACCAGACAACGCACCGATGCAAGTCGAGATGCGAAGCGATTTCACTGATTTCAAGACCTGCCTTAGGTACATCCGACGAGAAACGCTCGGGATTTGCGTTTTGCACGCGATCCATGCGCGGTTCTTACGCAACATGGAAATCATTTCAAAAAGCATTCGACACTATGCTTTGTTAATCTTTTGTTATCTGACGCGTGAAATCGGCAATGAAGGAAAGAAAGATACTGTAAGAAAGAGGATTGTTTCAGAGTTAATATAGACATTTTATTATTCCTATAACATACATTTATAATGGTTATCTTTATACAACTTTTACACTTCAAAATTGTTCCAATAAGTCATATTAAAAACTCTCGATTTAAAAACTTTCTTTTCTTCAAGACAAACGTCTTCAACAGTAATAAGATTTTTTGTGCTCTTCTTTATTAGTTTAGAACGATAAAACTACGAAGATTGATTTTGTGTTTGTTAAATTTAATATTTGCAAAAAGAAAATTATTCTCGCTCCCTTCATATAGACTTCGAATCTCGTCAGAGTTAAGAGTAGATAATCCGCGAATATTTTTCGTATCTCTTGTCGGAAGAAGAAAACCCGTATGTTTTATATACAATTCGTAGAAAGCTCGCTTGTGCGCAAACGCGTGGTTACGATGTGTTAAATTCTTGTCGATAAGAGAAGGAGGAGGACGAATAGCCAGCGAAAGAATATCTAAAGAACGGCGACGCGACGACGATGTCGTTTCGCAACGACGACAAGTGAAATTCGTCGAGTCGTTGAAGTTTACTTCCCTCGGACATCGCATTTCGGATTGGCACACACCGTGCCGGCCCCGCAGTGCGGGGTCTGCATAGCCGATGACTTCCTAGACGATTGCGCGATCGCTGCAGGATGCGACCGCCGCTTGCTTGCGTTATCGCTTCCGTTACGTCGTCTCACCGACGAGTGCGTTTTACGTCCCCCACGTTTTTTTTTCTCTTTGCGAAAACCAGCGAAGACAGCAGCCCGATATGTTGCACTCTGCTCTGCCGGGTCGGGAATCGCTGGCAACCGCGTGTATGCTCGTAAATGACAGGATAGCGATATAATGGCGGGCTGCCACTGAGACCGAGTATGTATTATCCGCGTTTATTTCTGTCTGCGTACCCGGTGAAACGTGACGAGATGGAAGGGCATAGTGTAATCAGGAGCTGCTCCAGGCAATTTCTGCATCTCTCGGCACAAAGTTGAAGTATACATCGCTTTCATCGTTGTCGTTATCCAATCAACATCCAGATCGTGTGGAAAGTAGACGTATGGCATTGAGAGACTCGGGAAAATTCTGGGTTGACTTTGTTATCTGATGATAAATTCCTAAGAGTAATCAGTAATTTCCAAAGTGTAAATTAAAACGTTAACACGGAAAAATGATTCTGCGCGAATTAAATTTCGGAAACAGATCATGCAATGTTCTGCTAATCTTTATTGGGAAATTTATAAAGTAAACTGAAGCACGAGAATTAGCTCTCTTTTTAACACAGGGCTTTATTGTATTGCGGCGTTATGGGACTATAAACTTACCCCACTTTGCAACACCTTTCACAATCACTGGCAGCGGATGTGTATTTAGACCGAACCTATGTTTTCATCCGTCGCAGGAAAAAGCGAAATAATGTAAAACACTTAAGCGCGAGGACTATATGTTTCCTGTGTTCACTTTCGTTGCGCAAGGGACGATACGGGAGTTACATAAATGAGACCCTTTCGTTTCGCACGAGAATAACGTAAAACGCGCTTGCCACGTCGCTGCTCGGTGATTTGAGCATTTTGCTCAGGAAGGTGACGAGACTTCGCCGCCCATTGAAATCATCGGCTTGAAAACGGCAGCGCGGCAATCCGATGAGGCAACGTCCCGCCTTGCGTCGTACACCGGCTGATAGGCTCGGTGCGTGATGATGTGAGGTTGCGTGTCTTCGATATGACGAAGAGATTGAAAAGCGCGTTCGCGCTTCGCGATGCGCTCGCGATGGCCGGCCAGAAAACGCGTTGCATTATTCGTGCAATTAGTCATGAGAGATTGAATCGCGCAGATAGTGGTATAGGTATATCCTTTGTACGAGGAGTTAGCAGCTCTCGCGAGAGAATTCGCGCGCGCGGGCATTTGAGGCAATTTCGTGCCGTGAAATGAACGCGCGCGATTAGACGTGACCATCGAGGAAAAACGTTTCCGTTTCCACGGTACTTACGAAAGAAAGAACGTGCAATTGCAGAAAAAAATGTGATTGAAACAGCATCCTTTCGCATCTTTTGCATTCTTGTTAGAAAACATCCGGCAAAATGCGCGGCTACTTAATTTACATTGTAATTTCCGTAGACGTGATTTGTTTAATATTATAGTCATGATAAATCGCGGTGTTAAGAAAGGAAAACAGAAACGACTGCATTAATTGGCACGTCGTTCTGGATTCTGGATAACTGTCGTCGCCATACGAGGGCAAAAGTGAAACCTTCCTGCATAGGAACTAGGTCTCTGCACTTGAATTTCCAGTGCACGATATGTATATACATGTTAATATTCTACTGAAGAATAATAATGCAAACTCGACAGTTTAATATTATAGTATGACCAAACTTAATTATAATATAAAATTTGCATTGAACTTAAATATATTTATACAGTATATAAAAAATTATATATAAATAGACATGATGTTTAATTATATCTCTAAAACACTTTTCATGTGCAGCAAGAGAGAAAAGTTTCTCCTCGAATTCATTATATTTTAATTTGCGAAAGAAAGTTGTATCTTAGTTTAAATACAGAGGAGACGCTAGTAGATTCTGTGACACAATTCTTTATTTTATTATTACCCCTTTTCTTATTTTTAATGCCATTATGATTATATGGTATATGTGTAAAATCTATGCTGTATACCTTTTTTATAAAACTTACATCAGCATAATCTATTTATCTACATACGCGCCGTTATTTGTGGAAAACGTGAAGTACTTTGTAATTACTTCGTGATAATTGCATTAAAATAACAAGAAACGGATTGCATTGCAGGCTCCGATGGCGCCGGATGCGGTTATCCGGGTGCACCGGCACATAGTACTGTACGTTTCAACTTCAGAGGTATCGACGACGTCATAGACGAGGAGGATGCTCTCCTTAAGGAAACCACGTTTGCGGAAGGCACCACAGCTATATATTCCTGTGAACGAGGATTCGAGCTTCTAGGACCAGCGAGGAGGGAATGCCAAGCCGAAGGCACGTGGTTGCCGGAAGGCGTGCCATTCTGCGGTAAGTGTCATCCATTTTTTGATTTTTGAGTGATACTCGTAATTAAACATAATGTGATTTTTTTCTGATTGGCAATATTATACAATAAGATTTGCAATAGTTTATCGCTACGCGTAATAGTGTTTTATCAGAACGTTGATATCAAAAAGATAAGCTATACAGGAATAATGCTGGAATAATTATTTACGATTTCGTAAATTACAAATTGCAAATTAGTAATTATTTATTATGATATGATTTACATGATATAATATAATGATATTTGCAAAAGCATAATTAAACGTATTTCACGGCAAATATCATTATACATAGTCCTTACACAAAGTGTCTCAGACACTTCTTCTTTCTTCTTTTGATCTTTTCTGAATTTTGAGTGGATCTCTTTGATAAATTTTCAATTTTATAAGTAATGTTTAATTTAAAAACCTAAATATTAAAAATACATTGTCAAAAAGTAAAAGAGATTGCATTTAGAAAAAAATGCGGATAAAAGTAAAATTTGGTTTCTTCAAATATTTATACATTTTTAATTATCTACAATTCAAAAAGTAGTAGTTTTTCAATGTTTTCGTGAAGGAGAAATTGAGTTCAAGCTGGACAAGGAATTCGTAAGGAAAGTATGACTGAATAAGTCTGGGACACACTCCGCATAGGATGGGATATCTTCAGAAATACGGAGAGAAAGAGAGAGAATAGTCCGCCTTTCTATAATCACATTAACGGACAGCCGATGACGTTCGGTTGTATTTGCGTTCCCTGTTTCGGGGAGGCAAGTGACCCGGTTTACACGTGTCCTTGACCGAGCAGGTCCGACGCCGACGACGACCACGACGGCGACGATGACGACGACTGGCACAAGCAGTGCCATGCCGGAACACGCCGCGCCGGTGGGGGCAGTGCACCGTTAACTCTGAACCTGTTACCGCCTAAGAGCGCCCGCGGCCTTCCCAACCTCGCGCGCATTCCTCGAACAGAGACCTGCCAGACTCTTTCGTTGTCCTTGGACCGGGTCGAACGAATTTACTTCGCGCGATCCCGGAAGCACCTTCACGTCTTCCTCTATCGGAATTTTCGTTATGCCGCTTCCATCACCATCGCCTATTGATTAGACCCCGACCCTAAATTTGTCTTTATTGCTTTTATTTTGGACGAGTAAGCTAAAGGAAATACTTAGCTTATCTAACGCGAGATGGAATATTAATTCTCTTTTAACGATGCCTATATGAAACCCATCGAGCCCGAAGACGGCTATCACGTTCATTAGCAAGTTTACTTCACGAAGTATGTATCTTACGTGTTTTTCCTATACACGTGCGTATGCTAATACTCGCGCTTCTCACTAGCGAGAGATATCTAACCGGTAATGGGGTGCTTCGTATATTCCGTGCATATGCTATAGATGCAATTACTTATCGGCGGAATGCGTTTTCTAACCTTGTGCGTTCGATCATCTCAGGAATGAGGTGACCGATTCTCCGTCCACTATTTCTCGATTGAATGCATTGACCACAGAGTAGACCAAATGCTTACCAAGCTGAAATTTAACAGATTATATTGAAATAATATCTGAATAATATCAAAGCAGAGAATTATTATGAACATTTGTATTTTTTGCAAGTAGATAATATTTATAAGGGAGTTATAAATATTATCTACTTGTAAAAAACACAAAAATGTTCACAATAATTCTCTGTTTTGATATTAATCAGATATTATTTCAATATCTGTTAAATTTCAACTTGGTAAGCATTTGGTCTACTCAGTGGTCAGTGCATTCAATCGAGAAGTAATAGACGGAGAATCGGTCACCACATTCCTGAAATGATCGAACGCACATAGTTATAAAATAGTCGTATAATATTAAGTAAACATAGCTATTCTTACATATAATTAATATAAATAATCTGTTAACGAAGAAATTTCAAGAAAAATAATTTGTAAAATAGACCGAGATTTCTACATTTACTATGCTATAAATTATTACGAGATATCATCTTAACCTGTTTTCTAAAAAAAAAACTTGAAAACTTTAGAGAAGAAACTAGATTTAAAAAAAGTAAAGTAAACCGTGAACGAATCCATTTTTTTATTTTGTTAGACAGTCGTGCAATTAACTGATGACTGAATGAAATGCGCGAGCCTCCGGAAGTGCACAACGTCGTTCTTCCTTTTAGCGATACAATTCTTGTACGCGTTCTCGCGCGAAACATATCGAAGTGAAAGAGCATGCGCTCGGAGAGAATCGCTCCTGATGAGATCTCACGGCCACGCTCCGCGAATTCAACGACAGGCCGAACTGGTCCAGGATCACGAGAAAAGTGGCGCCGTGTTGTGGGCGGAAGTGGGTCGCGCGGATTACGAGTACACGATGTCGACACGCCCCGACGATCTCAAGGACTGTCTCTTCGTGGCGTGAGCCAAGCAGAACGCGAGAAAGAAAAAAAGGGAAGAGAAATGCGTTTGTCAAGTGCCGACGAATCTCCCCTAATAACGAATAATAATATACTTAATATTAATTACGATAAGTAAAATAGATTGGATTACTTACAAGGGAACCTCGCGAAGTGTCAAATTCTGATTTTAATGAAACTTGGTACACTTTGAGATCACATAAATAGATGAATTTAGAAATTATCAGTTGGTGCTAAAAAACGGTTTAAAGGGATAAATCCACCCCTTATATGTAAATTAATTA